CCCCATGCTCCGCCTCATTCTCCTATTGCTTCCGGGGGTGTAAACTAACCGGCAAGTAAACAGTCCAGCAGCTGAGAATGAACTGTAATAATCACGGATTAAACATCGGCAAGGCTGGAGGCTTCGCTTCCACATTCTTGAAGGACCTTGGTTGCATAGGTAAGAAACATAACAGACGGCAGATTAATCTATCCAAGTGTTAAAAAACAAGGGATAGAAAAGGGAAGATTGAAATGCTTTCGATGTCCTCTCCAAACCACCCAGTATGTAACTACCTAGGTGCTTGCCGACCTAGATGTTCAGTCTCAGCTTATTATGCTTGAAAATCTAAAAACACCCCAGCACCTTCTCACCACCATCCCAACTTTATCTCAACAACAACCCAGCTTTATCTCATTACTACCTAGTTCCACAGTGAAGTCGAATGGCGGATTAAGAGGGCGGGATAGAATGGTGGGATAGAACGGCGGAGTAGGATGGCGATGGCGCTGTTCAGATGGCGGAAGATTGATATCTGGCGATGGTGCTGCTGATATCGATATCAAAATAGCTGAGAATGGTCGCCCACGATTCCTACCAAGAGTCAAATGGCGGAAAATATCAGATAAATCGCGACAAAGAGATCACATCATATAGAAGGTGAGGAGACAGACTGGACCTCGTCCAACATCTGCAAATATGCAGCCACATTCTCTCGTTCACCAACATGTACTCTACCTCCGTATATAGATACTCGCATCACACCTCGAGGTGTCGAACACCATGAGCCTCCCGCCATCCGGTCCCATCTCGTACCAATGACACCACAAACTAGTTGGTTACTACTGGCATCACAAGCCAGCCTACTGGTCATTCAAGAGACGCCGGGGGGGCATAATCCGGTAGCCGGGGTTATTTGCTGTCGTTATGTGTTGTACGCCCGCAGAGATGTGTAAAAGTTGATGATATTTCTAGATACTCTGACAAACAGCTCCAGAGAGCAAAAACCTTTTCTCATCGTTACCAATATGTGGGCCTCAGGGCCGAAGCCCTGGGAGCAACCTGACTGACCAATCCTCCGGGAGCAATACCTCCCACAGACCTACAGTCTGGCCCGTCCAGGCGGCTGCCCGTCCAGTTCCACCGAACCACTGCGGGCCGAAACAAGGGGCTTGCCCGTGACGTTGTGATTGCCCTCGGGGCTGGGGGCCTTACCATATGCAGCCCGGTAGCCAACGTTATCGGCTGCCTCTAGCCAGCCCTCCTCGGATACGCCACGCGTGTCCTCGGCCTACTTACTGGCGTGGGGTGTGGTGTTGATACTATAGTAAGGGCGGGCGCTTGTGTACCGGTTGTTGCTACGGCTGCTAATACCCGTGGTATTCGTACCGCTGGCTCTGTAGCCACGGTGGGGGTAAGGCTGGCTGCGGCGTGAGCTGCGACCACTGTCACGAGACTGGCCATAGCTACGAGAGCCATTACCGCGATAGCTATCGCCGCGAGTTTTAACATAAGTCTAGACTATAACTTCAGCCAGGCTATAATTTGGCGCTAATTGTCTTGACTCACCTAAATAGTTGGCTAATACTGGCGCCATGAGCAAGTCTCTTGACCTAATCATGGAGAGCGAGCGCGTCTGTGACACCACGGAACCGGATCAACTTCAGCGCCAAACAGATGTCCCTACCTACCCCACGACAGCGAGCAAACCGACACATTCTACAAGAAGCATATCAGGAACGACTCCACCGCTTGCTTCACACCGTCCCAAGGACAAGAAGCGGCCCATCACCAAGAGAGGGACGCGATTCACAAAGCCCAGGCCTTTGCCCGTCCTGAAAGAGGTCCCCAAGTTCGCTTCCCCCTTAAGTACAAAACTAGAGGGTATGAAAGTGTGTACCGATATTTTAAGCCTGGCTCACCTTTGAAACAGACAAGCTCGGCCAGGCCCCTAGATATATCTATTCACTCAAGAACAAAAACTCACCTCCTCTCAACTCGGAACTCAATACTTTCCGCATAAATGCCCAGTTACCTATCATCCCAAGGGTCTCAGTCTAACGCACCAGTTCTCGGTGATGACATCCATCCAAACCGCAACTTCGACTTACAGACTTTGTGATCTCCTTGCCTAGAACGGGAGGTTGATAGTATTCCTTGTAAATTGCCTTTAGTTGTGATTTATTATAATTTATCTCCGTTAAGATCTAGAGTTTACCTTGTAAAAAGCAATAAGATTTAAGAGTTAGCTATTATACTAAACCTCTTATCTTTCTCATGGAGAGATATTCTTATAAAAAGGAAATAGATCTTTAAACTTCTGAGCCTACTAGGGAGTTTTCCCCATGTTGGTTTACCTAGCCAGAACTACTTGGGGAAAATTAGGAAACTGTTGAAGGGAGAATGCAGGAAGGAGGGCTATTCAAGATCATTTGGCGTTGTTGGACGAAACAACCGATCCAGGGAAGGAAGACTTTTAATCAGCTCTTGAAACACGTAGACGCTTAGATAGGTACCGCCGAGTTCTTCGCAGAGGCTTTTGCTGCGTGGAATCCTGTGATGTGTGAGAGATGTAGCTACGTATGGTAAGTTCAAATGAGGGAGACATACTAGGTTGGATGACAAGGAAGTGGACCACATATGGATGTGGCCCAGGTAGGTTTGAACTACCCAAGCCATCTACCCACATTAAACCCTCCACAACCCTGGACCTCCGAAAGCCCCCCGATATCAACACACACTTTATATTCCACCCACAGAGACTAAAAATGAAGCTTTTTTTTTACTTTTTTTTGCTCCAGGTACCCAACAATGGCCAAATATACCGAGGAGGATATTAAAAATGCCCAGAAAGACATTGCCGCTGGTATAAGCCAGCGAAAAGCGTCTAATAAATATAGGATTCTACATTCCACCCTAAAGCACTATATTAATAGTACCCTACTAAGGAACCTTGCCCATGAAAACCAATAGCGATTTTCTTACGGCTAAAAAAGACTTTATTATTTAATAAATCCTTCGTTAAAAAAACTTTAGTTACGCTCCTACCTATATTAATATAAAGGCTTTAGCGGTTAGTTTATTAACTAAACAAAGCGATTTTAACCCCCTTAGTAAATACTAAATATTATACTTTATTAGCCGTTATCCCGATATTAAAATAAAGGTTAAAAAGAAAATTAATTACGTTAGAATTAACGAAATTACTCTGGAAAATATTAATAAGTTTTTTAATTTATATTCTACCGTTAATTAAATTAAGTTTAGGCATAAGTATAATTACGATAAAGTAAATATAATAAAAAGCTAGGGAAAAAACGGTTTAGTTATTGGATTTTTAAAGCGAAATAAAAAGTTTATATATATTAAATAGAACGGAAGAAGGACCTAAACCACTATATTTAAGTATATTTTATAAGACGGGAGAGTCTTTCCCCCCGGAATTATTTTTAAAGGTAAAGACTTTTAAAAGTAATAGTTTAAAAACTAATTAAATAAGGACTGGTATATAGCTATATTAGAGAATAGTTAAATTAGTAATAACTTTACTATTAATTAATTTAAAAAGGTTTTTATATTAAAAATTAAACTTAAAGATCTATTAAAACCCCGTCTTTTTATTTATAATAACTATAGTTTATATACTATTAACGACTTTATAATCCGGTACTATAGGAATAATATTTACCTTCTTTTCCTGCCCCCTTACTACTCTTACGTCCTTTAACCCTTTAATATTAACTACTTTTTTAATATAAAGAAGGCGTATAAGAGGCTTATAGCTATAAACGATACCCTTATTAACTATCCGCTTAACGGCAAAGTCGACTTAGTCCGGCTATATAACCTTGCCCGCAAGTAGGGCTTTAGGAAAAAAAATATTGCCGGCGGCTGGCGTGGGATAGGATTATAGTTTATACGTAGGCGCAAACCGTTCTTTTTAAGCTAGGTAATAGTCCCTGTGGTGCCGTTGGATCTCTCTTCGAAAATACTTACTTTCCATACCGTGGGGGATTCCAGGTGGCCAAGAAGGTCAGGGACCTACTCAAGAACCATACGCCGGCCGGAAAACGGCTTGCGGTAAGGACTCTCACCAGTACTATACTTACACTGAGATCTGAGGCATCTATCCACAAAGCTGATGCGGCAAGGCACCAACAGAACGCCCAGAAGGCCCAGGAGGCAAGAAAAAGGCGTAAGTTGAATAGAGAAGACTCGAATTCCAAGTTTGTGAGGCTCTGTGAACTGGAAGAGGCCCGTATTGAAGGGAGGGTGGTGGAGGAAGAAGTGGTAGCCAAGGAGGATGTGGAGCAGCCAGAGCCAGCCCAGCCTGTGCGGCGCAGCGCACGTCATCGGGTTCAAACCAGGCGCAAGCGAGAAGCAGATGCAATGTCTGACTCTGACAGTAATTGAGCTACATTTTGGTATAACTCCCATAGAAATTGACCCAATATTAGTCTTGTTGTGGCCAGTGTGATCATTCAGGGGTAATCTCAACAAGGTTGTGTGGCTGGTGTGGTGGTGGTGGACCAGATCCACATGTGGTCCATTTCCTGGTCATCCAACCTATTCCACAAGTCCACACCCATAAAGCTACGCATAACACCCCCCCCCTCCCCTCTTCCAACCCAAATGTTTCCATGAGCCACTCATATCACAAACCATTCCCGTAGTTTACACCAAACCCTCCACACAACCCTCCTCTCTCGCAAAATATCACAAATATCAGCACCGGGCAGCACCACCGGCTTCCTTTGCCTCCCAATCTGAGTATGTTGCTCGAAAGCATACGCCAGCTCAATCAACTTCTCCTCGGTGACCGGCTTCCCAATGAAGCTCAACCCAAAACTTAAAAAAAAAAGTGGTGGAGTTCAGTACAGTGGTGGATCACACTGGGAGGAATTACTCACGGTATGCCAGGCGCTTGCTCCACCAAATCCCACCTTTGTATTCCTCTCCACCTCTGTCCCCTCGGGTGAAAACCCCAGCGGCACACAAACAACCGGGTACCCAACAAGGCCGGGTACTTCCGAGGAGCATACTGATGGGAATACAATCGCGTCGGCTTTGTGGGTGTCAATTACAGCATCAATCCCCCTTGTCCCGCCGAGGTCTCTCATTCTCTCGATTTCTTTGGCCATCTCGGGCGACCCGAAGTCAGCAGACTTGACCACCTGCTCCCAGTAAGCAACGTCGCGAGAGGGGTATTCTTCTTTGGGGAGAGTCTTGGTGCAGTTGATGAGATCCTCCACAGTCCGAATACCATACGGGTGAACCGCCAGACTCGGAAAGCACCTCTCGATATCAAACCGATACTCCGACGGCCCGACCCGGCCCTGTGGCGCATCAGCAGCGTTGATTTCCTCATAAGAGGAGCAATTCGCATCATCAATAATCCTCGCCCCAAGTCCTCTCACAACATCCAAAACCCCATCAAACTGCTCCATCACCGGAGCGAGATCCATCTTCGCCACGAACGGGTCATCCCCATTGTTGCGCGGAACAGCAAGACGGCTGTTGACCAACCCACCAAGCTTCAGCGACTTTGTATAGTCCGGCACAATCGAAAACGGAATCCGTAAACTGTCGGGGTCTTCTGAAGTCGGTCCAGCCATGAAATTAAGCATAATCGCAGCATCCCGAACAGTCCGGGTCATGGGGCCGACAGGGCCGCGGAATCTTGTGACAATCACATTGTCCCGAGGAACAAGCCCCGAAGTCGTCTTGATGCTCACAAGATTGCCCCGCATAGCCGGGCAGGTGATGCTCCCCATTGTCTTCACAACCGTCCGTCAGTCAGCTTCATCCACCCGGGTAAAGCATAATACAAATATACCTACCTCAACCTCCACCGCCCCAGCCGCCAACCCAAGCGCAACAGCAACACCACTCCCACTACTACTTCCGCAAGGATCCTGTTCGCGATAGTAAACACCACAAGTCTGCCCCCCGACAGCACTCCAGCCGTTCGAGGCCGTCTGGCCGGACGAACGTGAGCTGCCCCATTCAGGTAAGTCTGTCGTCCCTAAAATGACAGCACCAGCAGCTCGCAAACGAGCGACGACAGAAGCCTCGTTTCTTGTCCGAGAGCCAAGCAGGCAGTACGACCCTGCAGAGCTGTTCAACCCATCAATACTAACCGACCCCCTTGACCAAAATCGGAATCCCATGCATCTTTGACCTCACCCCCGTCCCTCGCCTTTCGTTGTCCCGCTTGCGTGCATCTTCTAGAGCGAAGGGACTGACTTCCAAGACCGAGCGAGTCGACGGGTTGATTTCAGCAATCCGGGCGAGGTAAGTCTTGACGAGGTCTTCTGACGTGGTCGTCCCGTTGGTCAAAAGGTCCTGTAAGGTGTCGATGGAGAGGTCCCGGGTGGATGGGAAGGCTAGAAATCCGAGGTTAGCATCGCGGATTCGTTTCCATGGCCATAAACCGCAATCGTTCTCCTGTGCCATGAACCACGACACCCCCCGCCACAAGACAGGCAACGACAACTGAGTGAGTGATATTGAGCTGCCCCCACATTGCAGCGTCGTGGTGATTGTTGTTTGCAGGAGAGTCGTGGCAAATTGAACAGTTTGTTTCAGAAACGGAAAGGGAAGAAGAGACGAGTTGAGGTCTGGAAGAGATCGAGGACAAAGATCAGCTGGGGCCACGCGAGTGAGCCTTGAATCAGAAGAAAGATAAGCCATAGGCATACTACAGATGGAAGGTACGTTTCCATCTCTGTGAGTAGGAGAGAGAGCCTGTTAATAACGGTTGTTAAGTATGACCTTTGAAATACGCAGGGCTTCATCGAGGCATCTAGCATGTCACAGAAGCAACAAGAAGCCAGTCTGGGTGGGGTGCGGCACCCTACAGAAGAAGCCAGGCGGGTCTACATCCCCCTTGTTTTTAGTACCAAAAGAGAACAAGCATATCCAACTTGTTGGAAAAAAAAGAAAATAAAAAAGCTATGTGGTACTCTCCCGCCGGGAATTGAACCCGGGTCTCGAGCGTTGTTATTCTGACTGGTGGAGTCGAGGAATTGACAAGCTCACATACTGACCACTATACTACGGAAGATTTTATGAGTGTGGACACCCATCGTAGCTTGCCTCCCTGGACAGGATGTGCGTTAATAATGCCTGTGAAACTGCAACCAGGCACGGCGGCAACGACCATGAAAGATGCATATGCTGCATCCTTATGACAACCTCCAATAATTCGAGGAGTAGATTTTGAAGGGGGTCCGAGGGACGGAAGCCCAAGGAGTGTGCGATGTCAACAGAAAAACGATACCAAGCCCTCATCCCGTGTCTCGAAAGAGGTCTCGAGAGTACTATGCACCCTCAAAGAGAACAACCCTAAAGATTCTTGCCTCATCATGCAACACAACCGTACCCGGGGACGTACATAGCTGTTGACCTCTCTTCGGTATGGTGGCTGCCTTCCTACTCCTGTCTCCTCCAGCCTCCTTCCCTCCCTCCCTACAGCCTCGTCAGAGACCAAGGTGGAAAGCCCGGACCGTATCTCCTGACGGACTTTACAACTTTTCCCACAAGACCACGCCGCAAATGCACCTGCTCAGGCAACCAGGAGAGAGTGATTAGAAAGTAGAGAGGTGACGATGTATAGGGCTGAGGTGCATATGCCTTTGCATATCAGGCTGCCAGATTCTTTGTAAGACCTGCACTTAACAATGACTGTGGCACGGCAGCTTTTGGCCCCCAGAAAACCATGCCGAGACTATTCTCGGACCCCAAATACTCGGATTACGTCTGATCCGATCTGGTAAAGAGAAACACCATCGTGATCTTGCTATAGACTCCTGTCTTCTCTGCTCCAAACTTGTTTCATGTGTCAAGTCTTATTTCTCTCGCTTCCGCGTGCAGATGGACTGCCGCGCTGACTTGCATCTAGGCTGATGCATAAAACGTGTAGACAACAACACCCTAATGTAGAAGGTCCCCAACCATGGCATGTGCTGTTTTCGGACTTGAGAGGCAGGGTTCGTTGGTTGAGTGTGAGCGATACGACATCTGATCAAAGCTGCCCTGTAGGGTAGAGACAACCCATGTGGCGTCAGTCGGAAACAAATCAGACGTTTACTCATCGTCATCTTACCCGTCCCTCCCGTCTCACCCGCAGCCTTATCTCTTTAGAATTTTAGTTAACTTTGTGTAACTCTGCGCTTATGGCGCTTACTTGGAACCACACAAACCGGTGAGGTCTCTGTGTGGTGTGCCATGACCAGGCGACAGGGGTCCAAAGGTCCTTCGATGGCGTGTGCAGACGTGGCGTCTGAGCTTGAAAGGGTGTGGTCATTCAGCCGCGACAGGCGCCAGGCGATGAACATTGTGAGGGTGGCCATGTGGCAAAAAGGAAAATTCGGAGCCCGCGGAGCTTCTGCAGAAAACTACCGTCTTGTGTGACCATGGGGTATTGACATGGTTCGTTGATAGCCGCCACATACAACCTCACACACACCACAACCCACCGGATTTTGTTTCGGTGTGTTGGGGCTCGGTCCCGTGTTTGCTGCCTCCGGCACCAAATATGCTTCCAATGAGAGAAAAGCTTCTGAAAAAGGATCTCTGGTCTATGTTCCCCCATTGCTGTTGGCCAGCTGTTTTCTGCAGGGGGATAACGAGATGGTGCTCCCCCATACCGACGCACAACGTTTGTGGGGGATCACCCTACCACACCCCAAGGGCAACGGTACCCTTTTCCGGCAGTGTTTACCACGAACCCTGCAGATGCTGGAGTGTCCCAGAGGCGTGAAAGTATGCGCTTTTGAACCATACGCGTAGACTGTGTTGTAATTTGTAGTGTGTGGCTTGTCGGTTTCAGTTGAGCCTTGCAGATGTTACATGTGATGTGGGGTAGCCCAAGTCGACAAAGGAGGGCTGCCATGCCAATATCAGTATGGTGTTTGGTGCGTTGGGCTTGGTAATGGGCAGGACGGATGGTGGTCGTAACGATGAGGCGAGCAGATATATACCCCTGAGTCTGCCGGTTGCTTTTGTTGATGCTGGTAAGTCCTGCTATCAGTCAGTCCCAACATCTTGACTTCACCACCACCAGAGAACTTGTCAAACATCCAGTCTTTCCCCCAAAATGCCCGAGAGTTGCCAGTAGGTCTTCGTGCTTGATACATCGCCCCTACTGATCTGTACTAAATGCTGACCAACACCAGCTCCAGTTGCTCCCACCATGAGGGGGCCAAAGCCCGGGATCACCGACAGGATCGTTTGGACTTCTTCAGCTCAGAACCAACGCGAGATGGCAACGTCTTAGTTCAAGCCACATACCAGCCCCGCCAGCCCAGAGACGCCAAGAGAGATATGACACGGAGGATACAGAACATCTTGGTTCCTTTCGAAAGACGAGGTTGATGGCGGGGGAGGGGTTCGGTCTCGAATCCAGGCACATGGGCATGTCGGATGTAATAAGATGGAACGAAACTATGGGAGTATTAGCCAGAGATTAATGTGAAGAGCAACATGGTGGACATACCTGTACTAGAAATCTTAACTTCTTTCATGACCTGTTGTTGATAGTGAGGCACAGGCGTGGATCCCGCAACCTTGTCTTGGCGCCGGCTCATGACACCTGTCCGTGACCATCTCTCTGACCCAGCTATCGTCCCCTATCCAGCCGGTCTCCTTTGGCTTTCCCGAAAGCCCTCAGCTCGACGAATATGTCAAGAGTTAGACGAATCTGGTTCCGCTTCTCTTTTAGACTTCGGTCAGCTCGCACGGCAAAACGTCGGAAGTCCGTCGTTTGCAAGTGTCGTTGGTCCTGCTAAGCCTCAGGATTCATCCCCATGGAGGAATATGGCCCGCAATTTCGAGAGGTAACACAACCCGCATCGAGGGCGGTGGTGATGATATAAAGTCGGTCGCCAGTGGGGATACCGTGAGCGGAGTTTCCATTTCGGGACAAAACCGTTCGACCTCTTCCGAAGGACCCACACCTGTCCGCTCCGCATTACCATCCCGGCACTATCGTCGACCCCCAGAAGCCGCAGCTTCATCCTCGTGTCCCGGCTGACAATGATACTAAGTCAAGTCCTGAATGACTCCTAGACCCCAGGAATAGCCCCTCGGGCCATGACCGCCCCAAACTTTCCCGATGTTCAACCGACATTCATCCATCTCCACACCACCGTCTCGTTCCATGATGATAAGACTCGGCCCGCCCCGCCAAAACATCGGCTGAATCCCCAACCCACCCCGCAGTGATTGTATTATTCACACCGACACCCAACCTCCCAAAAGTCCCCCAATAAGCAATATATACGCAAAATATTGCAAACTGGTCATGGGACCCTAAAGCGAAGAGAGTCAGGTCCAGATGGTCCGGTTGGCACGGGCCGGCGGCAGATCCTCGGGAACTTGTCCACAGTGTTGGTGTTCTCGCCAAGCCCCCCCCCGTTCTTTCAAGCCTTGATGGAACGTCATCGGATGCTGGTTTGTCAGTCGTGAAATGCTACTGTCAGAGAACAAAAAAAAAAAAAAAACCCGGGTTTAAGAGCGGACATGAAGAATGCCGCCAATGCAAGGCAAGCGCGTCTTCCCCGGGGCTAACGTAGAAAAAAAGTATGCAGCCCACAAACCACACAAGGCCCTTGTTTTGCCCCTCCCCCCACACTCAAGCCGCCTCTACTTCGGGGCTTCTTTCCTCTCGTGAAAGGTTCTAGAATGCGGTGTGGTTGATGTTGCTGTCGCGATATCTGACGAGGCCGGGGTCGGATCCATCGAGTATATAAGAGGTCTTCCATGGCCGTGGTTAAGATTGCGTCCCGACTCGACTACATCATCCGCCCGCCAGTCTCCCGTCACCATGTCGACCGCCAGTCCAGACCACGTCGGTGTCGACAATCCCGATAATTCCAGGAAGATGGATGAGTCCATCATCCCAACACGCGATCCTGAAAAGGTCGACTTGTCGGAAGAGACCACGGATGAGGAAGCCTCGGCTCCTCCCCTCCAACAACGATGGAACCAATCCGCCACAAACATCTTCCGCTTTCTCGGCACCATATACGCCTTCATCCTCATGGGCATGACTGACGGCGCTGTCGGTGCCCTTCTTCCCTACATCGAAACATACTATTCCATCTCCTACACCGCCGTCTCCCTTGTCTTCCTGTCTCCCTTCATAGGGTACACCCTCGCAGCACTCAGCAATTCACTGGTCCACCACCACTTCGGGCAAGTTGGTATCGCCGTCCTCGGTCCCGTTTGTCGTCTCATTGGTATCATTCCGCTTGTCTTCCACCCGCCCTATCCCGTTCTGCCAGTCGTCCTAGCTTTCACCGGCTACGGTAATGGCATCGAAGACAGTGCTTGGAACGCCTGGATAGGCAATATGCACAACGCCAATGAGCTTCTCGGTCTTCTTCACGGCGCTTACGGTCTAGGCGCCACCATTGGACCCTTGATTGCGACAGCGATGGTGACCAAGGGAGGATTGGAGTGGTACACGTTTTACTATGTGATGATTGGTCTGGATGGTGTCGGTCTCGTATTCCTAACGGCGGCATTCTGGAGGGCGACGGCCAAGCTATACAGAGCTCAGTTTTTAGATACCACTGGTGGAAAGAGAACCACGACTCGAACAGTGCTCAAAGAACCCATTACTTGGATCCTCGCCATGTTCCTGCTTGGGTATGTAGGCGCCGAGGTGTCGCTGGGAGGGTGGATCACGACGTTTATGTTGCGAGTCCGCAATGCTGAACCTTTTATGGCTGGTCTGACTGTTACTTTCTTCTGGCTTGGATTGACAGTGGGACGGGTGGTGTTGGGTTTTGTCACAGGGAGGATAGGAGAAAAGCTTGCCATCACCATCTATCTGGTGCTCTCGATTGTGATGCAAGTCCTCTACTGGACTGTACCCAACTTCGCGGCATCGGCAACCTTTGCGACGTTCTTGGGTTTCTTCTTGGGTCCGTTATTTCCGGCGGCGATTGTGGCGGCGACAAAGTTGCTGCCGAGCGATTATCATGTTTCAGCGATTGGATTTGCTGCAGCATTCGGCGGAGGGGGCGCGGCACTGTTCCCGTTTGCGGTGGGGGCCATCGCTCAGAGTAAGGGGGTGGAAGTGTTGCAGCCGATCTGTCTGGCGATTCTCATTTTCATCTTGTTGATGTGGTGGTTCTTGCCTGGTGGGCTGAAACCAGGCGGGCTGGAGAAGGCGGGGGAGGAGGGCGAGAAGGTCGGAGATGGGATGAGAAAGGTCATCAAGAAGGTGACGAGGAAACGGAATTAGCAAAGGTCTAGTTGGTCCTGGACAATCTCTTACAGGTTTTGCTGCTGTCGGTATAGCTAGCTTGAATGGGACTGTTTCTTTTTCATATGCTACATATTGGAAGTCCAGCGGAAAATATGCGTCCAGCTCAGCTGCAATAAGCCAACCTGAACATGTGGATATGTGACGTGGTGGGGTCCCGTTTCAGGTGTAGGCAGGTGTTCAGTTTGCCTATGCCCATGAGGAAAGAACCACCAAGTCATCCATCGTTAAAATGGCAAGACCTACTTGCAAGCCTGACCAAGGCTAGCAAGACCACTCATCCTCTCATGTGCCCTCTCTCATTATCCCACGGCATATTCAGGGCCACAAACAAACACCCAAACGCAACGCCTCACCCGCTATTTCTTCAACAAACAGTTCCTTTTTCAAGAGTTTTAGGTAATGTACCCTGATACCGGATCAGTCTTGTAGCACCTAGAATCGTCACCAGGCCCGTCCAGATAGACATGTCTGTCTCACATTCTTGGTAACAAGGTCAATTTAAATTTCAATCTTATCACCGGTTCCTCTCGAAATGCATAAATAACGCGGTAGAGACCACTAATACCGGTCCATCAAACCTCATTCCTTCAATCTTCTTCTCAACCTATTGGTAGCAACAAGACACCCCAGCACCAACCAATCCATCAAACTCAAGCATTCAAAATGCCATCAACTCTCGCCCTGGGAAGAGACCCTCCAGCAGCTGGTCAAACACCAAGAAACCGAGAATCCTCGCCCCCAGACTCCTGCACAGAGAGAGGCCGAGCCGATGTGCCCAGCCGATGTGCCCTGGCGGAGAGCACTGCCCTCCGTATGCCCACAAGGCCGGAAGCAGAAAGGGATGCGCCTTCAAGTCCGAGATCAACGCTGTGTTTATGATCTCTACCGGTCAAAAACATGACAGAGATATCGTGGATTGCCAAAGGCCTTCAAAAGGCACATCTATCATCACTTCTTTTGAAGACCATAATTTGGCCATACATGACAGCGTGTGGTTCAAGAAGACGTATCATAAAATGTTCGAATATCATCGCGTTTTGTCATTACTTCGTAACCCCGATACACCCAAAGATCAGGTCCAACCCGCAACCCAGAGTACGTTACATTGTGAGAATACATCAAGCTCCCAATTCATTACCCCTGAACCAGACCCACTTTTACCCCTATCCCGACAGCAAGACGCTTAACCAAACAACGCACCGCCCAATCTGATGGCGACAGACTTGTGTTGCGTGTAGTTGGCCAAAGCCTCCTCACCCAACTCGCGCCCGATACCACTCTGAGCATAACCACCGAATGGCAGCTGGTGCGAAAGCAGGTTGTAGCAGTTGACCCAGACGGTACCGGCACGGAGGGAGTTGGCGACCCGGATCGCGGTGTTGAGATCCTTGGTGTGGACAGCAGAGGCAAGACCATAAATGGTGTCGTGGGCCATCTGGAGGACCTCCTCCTCGGTGTCGAACTTGGCGATAGCGCAGACGGGGCCGAAGATCTCTTCCTGCATGATCTTCATCTTGGGGCTGACGTTGGTGAAGATGGTGGGCTGGATGAAGTAGCCCTTGTCACCGTGACGGGCACCACCAGTCTCGACTGTAGCGCCCTCGCTCTTGCCGGACTCAATGTACTCCATGATACGATCATATTGGAGCTGAGACACCTGGGGGCCTTGGAAGGTCTCGGGGTGGAATGGGTCGCCGACCTTGTTCGCCTCAGCGCGCTTCTTGAAAGCGGCGACGAACTTGTCGTAGATGCCGGACTGCACGTAGATACGAGATCCGGCGCAGCAGCACTGGCCGTGGTTGAAGTAGATACCAAAGTTGACCCAGCTGATGGTCTGCTCGATATCGGCATCGTTGAAGACGATATTGGGAGACTTGCCGCCCAACTCGAGGGTGACCTTCTTGAGGTTAGAAGAGGCAGCGGCCTTCATGATGGTGCGGCCAACAACAGTGGAGCCAGTAAAGGCGACCTTGTCGATGTCCATGTGGGAAGAGATGGCAGCGCCGGCAGTCTTCCCGAAGCCAGAGATGATGTTGAGAACACCGGGAGGGAAACCAGCCTCTTTGACGAACTGAGCAAAGACAAGACCGGACAAAGGCGTTTGCTCAGCGGTCTTGAGAACAACAGTGTTACCGGTAGCCAGAGCAGGTCCAATTTTCCAGCCGAGCATCAGAAGTGGGAAGTTCCATGGGATGATCTGGCCGCAGACGCCAATCTAAATGACACGACAGTTAGCATCAGCAGTTTATGGTGGCTTCGTACCCAAGGACAACGCACCGGCTCGAGTCTGGTGTAGTGGAACATGTCTGGCGCAATATCAATCGTCTTGCCCTCAATCTTGTCGGCCCAGCCGCCATAGTACCGAATGCAACCAACAACGGCGCCAACATCTCCACGAGCCATGGTGATGGACTTGCCATTGTCAAGGGACTCGACGGAAGCAAGGAGCTCCAGGTTCTTCTCGATCAGGTCGGCAAGCTTAAGCAGCAAGTTTCCACGCTGCTGAGGGGTAACCTGGCGCCACGGGCCCTCGAAGGCATCGCGAGCAGCCTTGACGGCAATGTCGACGTCGGCCTCGGTGGCTTCGTGGACGGAGCAGATGACCTCCTCGGTGGCGGGGTTGATGACCTCAAAGGTCTTCTTCTCGACACCCTCGACGAACTCGTTGTTGATGAAGCTGTACAAGTCAGGGTTAGGGTGAGTGGTTCACTATGGGGGAAGAAAGAGAAGCCACATACAGTCCGGTGGGCTGCTTGTACGTGCCCGTGGTAGGGGTCTTGAGCTCGGTGAAGACGTTGGCCATGATGTTGGCAGCTTCGTGTGACAGCTTGGGAAAGACTGATATGGACAGATTGGGACAGGAAGAACGAAACCAGCTCGCTGTCTCAGGTGTCAAGGTGGGAAGCTGTGAGGAGAATGGGGAAGCAGCGAGGACGAGAGGGCGTCCCCGCAGGACCTTAAATACATGTTGCGCCGGAGGACAGTAGGGGACAAAGTAGTGGCGAGGGGTACCAGCTACCAGTTCATCCTTCCCCCCCCGGATGGCACTGGCAGTGGACGGCCGAGTGGGTCACGGCCACGGAACTGGAAGTGCATGCAGCGGAAGCGGGGGTCGCGGGGTCGGGGGGTGACGCGGGTGGCTCTGCCTCTTCCCCAGAATCTCCCCAAGCGCCCCAGAATCTCCATCATTTCGAGGCAGACAACTCACGGGGTATCCATACCAAAGGTCCACGGCTCTCTCTCCCTCTCTCCACCATCTCACCGCTGGTGACTTGACTGAAGATGTTCTCACGATGTCCACTGGATTCCGCCATTCCGAGCATCACATCTCGTTGGCTGCTCACTTTCCCCGCATGACGATGGCAGCGGGACTATGAACCCCGCTCAGGGGGCGACACACAATGCTCCATCCCAGCATTGAAACATAAGCCGCGTTGAAGCGTGCCTAGGCATTCATGTCATTCGTCCATGTCTTTACCTGGATGATATAAGAGCCCAGAGTCTATCCCCAGAAGCTGGGGCAAGAAAGCTTGAGGAAAGCCGAACAGACGGATTGCTACCATTCCCATGTGTTGTCACCGATCTCCACGGGTTTGTTGTAGCATTCCGCCTCCCCGCATCTTTCCTTTGTTGAGACGTCCATTCCTCGACTGCCTCGGCATGATCATTAGTAGTTAATCTTCGAGGTGGCTGCCAGTATGTTTGATACTGTCTCAATTAATAACCACCGTTCTTTGGATGCTTCGGGGCAATGGAGAGCGAAGCTGTGTCTCATCAAGAAACATGGCGTGTGAATAGTAATCTGAGGGGTCTGGATAGCTCTCCGTTATCTCCGATCCAAGACCCAGGGAACATCTCTCGGCAATGTCAAGTTGCAACGGTCCTCCGTGCTGCATGCTCCGGGCGGCCGAGATCCTTCCCTCCCGCCGAATGCTGCGCACCACCAGTGCTTCTTCATGATACTATCGTTTATACCATACCTTCTGAGACACCATCGTATGCTCTCTCATGGCTCAGCGTGGACGATGCTACCGGAACTCGAACGATTCTAGACCCCGTGAAGCACACCACAAGTCGGTTCTCTTCTTCTAAACACAATCGGACTTTTCTCGGGGCCTTCCTGATGCTTACTGGGTGACGCCGGAGACCTGATGAGCATGTTGAAGTTCTACGGCTTTCCCAGTCAAGGTCTGGCTGACGGAAGATGGAAACCGAGATAGGTAAGTCCTATGAGAGCCTGAGTCGTATCACTTTTCTATCACATTCCCAACTTCCAACCCATGCGTTCTGCACCTAAAGATTCCTTTGTAAAGCTAGCCTTGCACATTTATATTCCCCCATGAGTATTCGATCCCAACCGCACGCACCTTGATCGCTATTTCTATCGTGGTTGGCCAATTGCAAGCTGAGGTGCCTTCCGATTAGATAGTGCCTTGTTATCCGTCACTTCGCTAGCTGGCTTCTCTTTGAAGACATACACGAGCATGCGGAGTGTCAATCGAAGCATGAAACGAGAGTTGGTCGTAGTTGTTATCAAAATGCCCATGTTGAGCTCAGTATTCTTTGGAATTGACGGATGTGGCTGGATTTTTGGTATTTCCTTGGAATTTCAAGCACATAAACGCAGCTTGTGTATCGGAGGCTGGGGCACAAAATAAGGGCAACTTTGGATGTCGGACGTCAGAAAAATTTCTCCGACATCTCCCCAGTCCCGCCCAAGACCGCGATAACGACACCGCCCGCCCAAGAGAGACGACACCCGCCGTCGGACCCATTGGACTGTCTTCTTTTGTCGTATACATACTTCGAGATCGGTTCAAGTCTGCCACTAAGTGTGCGGGGCAAACCGACGAGACTTCAGCCCCCGTTCAATGGGCTTCGCGCTCTAAGCTGCGAACATGGCCGACACGATGCTCGCCGGTCTCGAGGCCGATCTCTTTGCTGCCTTCAACAACAGCAGCAACGACGATGTTCCGATGCCAGACGCCGATAGTCCAATCAAGGCCGATCCTGAACAACCGCCATCTCAACAAGCGCCAGATGTTGCTCCTGAGAAGACTGCGGCTCCGACTGCTCCTGCTCCTCCTCCTCCGCCGCCACCACCGCCCACGTCGCAACATGGGGAGGCCACAACCACAACCACAACCACAACCACACCCACACTCACACCCACAGTGCCAGCAGCGCCAACAACGCCGGCAACTCCTGCCACTCCGTTAATATCTACAGCCGCAGCAGTTTCCTCTCTCCCACCACCATCGACTCCCGCCCCTGTTCCGAGCCCCGCGCCGAACCCGCTTGCTGCGACCCCAACCACAGCGCTCGATGCGCAATCGCCTTCAGTCCAGATAGAGCAGCTCTTAGCATCTGCCCAAGCCCAGACGGATGCCCTCGTGCATCAGTCTCCATCTCAAGCGCTATTACCGCAACCGACGATGTCTCAACCCCCGGCAGACTCTCAAACACCAATTGACCCTTCACCGGGAGTCCCCGTTACTGCCCAGATGCCGAGTGAAGCCAAACGACCCAGGAGCCCTGACCTGGATGATGAGGATAGCCTGGCAAAACGGTTGAAGATGGAGTTTGCCCAACATGAGGCGCAACTCGGGCACCCAGAGCAAGCGGGACATGGTGAGATGAACGGGCATGACATGGCGCCTGTCGACCTGGAAACGATGCTGAATAATGCGCTGGCTGATTACGATGTGAACGTGGTACGGACCACCAACCCAATACCTGCCACGCCCGAAGCTGAGAAAACACGGAACAAAATCGCAAACTTTACGCGTCACTCCTTTTACCATATGCGGTCCATGAGCCTCCTGAACATGGGCAGTTTTGCTGTTCAGATCCTCATCAGACTGTCGCAGAATACCAAAGCTGACACCGATGCACTTCTTGCCCAGACCGAATCCGAGTTTTACAAGGCCTATGGTATGCTCTGGAATGTGTTTGAAAGCACACGAAAGATGTACTCAGACTCTCACCTCCTTTCGGTCGACGAGTTGGAAATCACAGACTCGGAAGATAGGGAGACGATCCGCATGTCAAACTTGGCTTCGGTGGCAGGCATGGTGTTTGGCTCAGGCGATGTCACACTGAAAGATGTACACGATTCTTTTTTCAGCGTCTTCATCCCCGAAGACGGCGAATACAAGGACTCTTTGACCGAATTGCTAGTTAGCTTGAAGACGCGGCTCTTCTTGGATGCGCTTAATCACCAACCACCGCAGCCGGCGCTGGGCGTGTTGGACACTTTGTTTCCTGCTCGGTTCGATGAGGTTTTGAAGAATCGCAGTGGAGATCTGGCATTGAATCCGGATGAGGAGCGGCTGGTTGGTCAGGTTCGCGAGAGAAGGGAATTGCTGGTCCAATCGGCCGCTGATGAATCTATCAAGAGTACTTGCTCCTCCCCGTTTGGATTTCTGAATGTCGGTGGACTGACAAGAACAGTGTCGTTGGCGGAGCAATCGTCACCCGAGAGAATCTCCGAGTTGCTGAGCTTGTTTTTGCAAGGCCACCTGGCTGTTATAGTTGACTACGCCAGGAGCTACGGCATCAACATACCCACACAAGAGGAGGAGCCAGTTCTGGCCACGAATATGGAAATCGAGGAGCAGCACGACAGCCTTGCTGAAACGCTGAGGCTTGCAACAGCGCAACTTCCGATGGCTGGGGAAACCAAAGAACTCGACGGCGAAGATCTGTCAGGTCAACATGATGACGAAACATTGAAAAAGCTCATCGAGCAGGAGTTGGCCAAGGATTCGTCCTTGTCGCATGACCTGAGCGGGCTGATTAAGGACTCTTCCGCTGGACAGCATGACATGAATAGCTCGACTACCGAATTGGCGAATCTAATCGCTGCCAGCCTTCCGAAAATCCCAGAAGAGCCGCCGCATGGGCTCCCCACCACCTCGACTATGATATACTCGGGGACTGTCGGAACCGCAAATCTCGGACATGCCCCGGCCCATCCTCACTACATTGCGCAAATGAATCAACAACACCAGGGCCAATATCAGACGTACACACAGAGCCCCGCGCCAGCAGCCCCGGCTGCTCCAGCTGCCACGAACGAGAATGGCCTTCCACCAAATCAGTCTTTACCCACTGCGGCTCTGTACGAAAAGGCTCGGCAGGCTGCTGTTGCAAAGTCATCTAATACGTCGAGGCGCGAAGGCCTGCATTCGACTCGGAGGCCTTGGAGTCCTGAAGAGGAGAAGGCTCTCATGGCTGGTTTGGACATGGTGAAGGGTCCCCATTGGAGTCAAATTCTCGGTCTTTTTGGGCCGCACGGAACCATTTCAACCATCCTGAGGGATCGCACTCAGGTCCAGCTGAAGGACAAGGCAAGGAATCTGAAGCTATTTTTCCTCAAGACGAACTCGGAAATGCCGTACTATCTGCAACACGTCACAGGAGAGCTCAAGACTCGGGCTCCGACCCAGGCAGCAAGAAAGGAAGCCGAGGAGAAGGCGCGGCAGAATAGCCAAGAAGAACAGGCCAGGCTGCAGACAATGATGGCGCTGTCGAATATGCAACACAACAACCAGTCCGTGATGCCCGGCCCACATTCAAGTGTGCAAGCTCCGCGGGCAAGCCCAACCACCCCGGGCGTGAGCGGGCCTATGAATGGCAATACGACTACGGCAACATCGGGCGGTTTGCCTCCAGTGCCCATCTCACCAATGGTCAAGTCGGAGCCTCAGGAACACCACGGCCTACCAAAGGTTACATCGTTTCCATCCATAGCCCCGGCGCCGGCTCCGAGCACGTCGATGCAGCCTCCAAGTAAGCCGCAGTATCATCACTTGCAGCCACAGCCGTCTTCTCCGCATCACCAGGCCCAACAGCACCAGGCTCATCAGCCTCACCAGCCTCAGCAGAACCAAGCCCAGCAGCAACAGCAGCAACAGAACAGACAAAGTCCGCAACAGCAGAACCAGGGTCAGCAACACGCTCAGCAACACGCTCAGCAGCATGTTCAGCAGCATGTTCAACAACCTGTTCAGCAGCAAGGCCAGCAACAAGGCCGCCGTCAGACTCAGTCGCAGCTGCATCAAGCACAGCAGCAGCTCCAGGCCCAGCAATATCAGGCTCCGCAGCATCAAGCTCAGCAGCAGCCGCCAGCTCCGCAACGGCAACAAACGATGCCACACCAGCCTACTGCGCAACACCAGCACGCTCCGCAAGCCCAACAGGCTCAGCAAACTCAGCAGGCTCAGCAGGCTCAGCATCAGCAGGCCCAGCAACTTCAGCAGGTCCCTCAACATCATCAGGGTCAGCAGGTGCAACAACACCAACAGGTCCAACACAGTCGGCCTGCACAGCAACAGCAACAACAGGCTCAGCAGCTTCAACAAGTCCAGCAAAACCAGCAAGCTCAGCGACAACATTCTCATCAGCAGCATGTTCAGCAAGCGCATCCTCAACAATTACAGCAGCATCAACAACAGCAGCATCAACAACAGCAGCATCAACAACAGCAGCATCAACAACAGCAGCATCAACAACAGCAGCAACAACAACAGCACCAGGCTCAGGCGCCCCAGCCACCGCAACCACAGCAGCAAACGCACCATCAACACCGGCAGGCCCAGCAACAAGTCCAGCAGCAGGCTCAGCCTCAGGCACAACCACACCGTCACATCCCCTCGCCAACAACATCGCAGCCATCGCCGGCACCACCACGACCGGCTCAGCCGGCTCAAACGGCATACCAGCCCCAGCCCCAGGCCTCGACAGCCCAGCCGTCACCAGCACAGGCCTCGCCGCCGGCAGTTCCCGGGCTGCCAATACCCCCTAATCATCATTCCACCCCTGATCACCAAGATCAGGAGTTGTTGGAGTCGCTGCAGGCTGCTCTGGCTGTTCAGCCTAACTAGGAGTGGGCGGTGCTGAGCACAGAGGAGCTCTGTGTTGATTTTAAGAGAGAGTGGAGTGAGGGATGGTGGGGATGAGGGGGAAAGACTGACATGTTGAGGAGTTCTTTGGGGAGGTGGGGGGGGGGGGGGGGAAGGCTACCTATTTCACGTACGATGATACCATGGAGGGGTTGGACTGGCATTTTTGGGAGAAATAAAAGGAGGGTTCATACAAAATGGGGTTTCGGCGTTTGTGATATTTTTTGGGGTTGGGAAAGTTGGGGTCGATGGGTGTATATACCCTGGGTGCTTTACTCTTGCGGGGAAAGGGGAGGAGGGGGGGGGGGGTGTAAGCAGCGAGAATAGAGAGTATGACGTGCGGCGATATGCTGCCGTAGCGCAATATAAACTTTGAGATTTACTATTGAGAAAAGATGCTGGGATTTATGAAGATGGCGGGTTCTGCTTTGCTAGGTAGGTATGTTAGATTGACCGCCGTGCTTCATTCACACCTTGCACCGTCGTGGGCAAAAGCACCAAGACCGACCATTCCTCTGCAATCCCCCTTCAAAAAAACTTCCGTCATGTCAAGCCAAAATCTCAACAGTGTCGCCTTCTCCATCTTTTCTCTCGACAATACCCTCATCCTTCTCATCCTTTTTATTCACTTCATCTCTGTGATCCTCCCGACCCCCTTGCTCTCCTTCCTGCTTCCGGTCCACCCCTTCCTCTCTGTTAACCTTTTCCACATTACTACCACTCGCAGCAGCAAACCCCTTCCCTCCCTTTTCCTCGGCCAGCTTGGAGGCGGTGTGCAACCTCATGATTCCTTCCTCGTTTGGCTTGAGGTAGCATGCTGCTAGGTGGAACATCGCTGCATCTAGCACGCACACCCACCACTACCACCACAAAAAAAAACGATATCTTTTTTAGGTCAGGATCAAAGTTCCGGACCAAAAAGAGAAGCCACACCGAGAAGTGGTGTGAAGTCAGTTTCAGGGGGTTGGTGTAACGTGAGCGTGTGTTCTGGTTTGTTTGTGAGGAAAGGTTGTTGTTGGAGATTCAGGGGCTGGGGTTGGGTAGTGACCAAACCCCTCACAGCCAAGAAAAGAAAAAAGAAAAAAAAGGGTTCGGGTTGTTTACAAATACCGATCGATGATCGACAGACATCACATATGTGTGTCACCACCATAACAGTCCAAAGACATCATAAAAAGCTTCAATTCTTGACTTTATATTTATTCCACCCTATCTCACCTATATCTCCAACTACCACCACCACACCCAACACCCAAGACCC